GCAGTAGCTGACTGTAATGGGTGCAGGAGCTGACTGTAATGGGTGCAGGAGCTGACTGTAATGGGTGCAGGAGCTGACTGTAATGGGTGCAGTAGCTGACTGTAATAGGTGCAGGAGCTGACTGTAATAGGTGCAGTAGCTGACTGTAATGGGTGCAGGAGCTGACTGTAATAGGTGCAGGAGCTGACTGTAATAGGTGCAGTAGCTGACTGTAATGGGTGCAGGAGCTGACTGTAATGGGTGCAGGAGCCAACTGTAATAGGTGCAGGAGCTGACTGTAATAGGTGCAGGAGCCGACTGTAATGGGTGCAGTAGCTGACTGTAATGGGTGCAGGAGCCAACTGTAATAGGTGCAGGAGCTGACTGTAATAGGTGCAGGAGCTGACTGTAATGGGTGCAGTAGCTGACTGTAATGGGTGCAGGAGCTGACTGTAATAGGTGCAGTAGCTGACTGTAATAGGTGCAGGAGCTGACTGTAATGGGTGCAGTAGCTGACTGTAATGGGTGCAGGAGCCGACTGTAATCGGTGCAGGAGCTGACTGTAATGGGTGCAGGAGCTGACTGTAATAGGTGCAGGAGCTGACTGTAATAGGTGCAGGAGCTGACTGTAATGGGTGCAGGAGCGACTGTAATGGGTGCAGGAGCTGACTGTAATAGGTGCAGAAGCTGACTGTAATGGGTGCAGGAGCTGACTGTAATAGGTGCAGGAGCTGACTGTAATAGGTGCAGTAGCTGACTGTAATGGGTGCAGGAGCTGACTGTAATGGGTGCAGGAGCCGACTGTAATAGGTGCAGGAGCTGACTGTAATGGGTGCAGGAGCTGACTGTAATGGGTGCAGGAGCTGACTGTAATGGGTGCAGGAGCCGACTGTAATGGGTGCAGGAGCCGACTGTAATAGGTGCAGGAGCCGACTGTAATAGGTGACAGGAGCTGACTGTAATGGGTGCAGTAGCTGACTGTAATGGGTGCAGGAGCTGACTGTAATAGGTGCAGGAGCTGACTGTAATGGGTGCAGTAGCTGACTGTAATAGGTGCAGGAGCTGACTGTAATAGGTGCAGGAGCTGACTGTAATAGGTGCAGGAGCTGACTGTAATAGGTGCAGGAGCTGACTGTAATATGTTTAGGAGCTGACTGTAATAGGTGCAGGAGCTGACTGTAATATGTTTAGGAGCTGACTGTAATAGGTGCAGGAGCTGACTGTAATATGTTTAGGAGCTGACTGTAATAGGTGCAGTAGCTGACTGTAATAGGTGCAGTAGCTGACTGTAATGGGTGCAGGAGCTGACTAATGGATGTAGGAGCTGACTGTAATGGGTGTAGGAGCTGACTGTAATAGGTGCAGGAGCTGACTGTAATGGGTGCAGTAGCTGACTGTAATAGGTGCAGTAGCTGACTGTAATAGGTGTAGTAGCTGACTGTAATGGGTGCAGTAGCTGACTGTAATAGGTGCAGTAGCTGACTGTAATGGGTGCAGTAGCTGACTGTAATAGGTGCAGGAGCTGACTGTAATAGGTGCAGGAGCTGACTGTAATAGGTGCAGGAGCTGACTGTAATGGGTGCAGTAGCTGACTGTAATGGGTGCAGTAGCTGACTGTAATAGGTGCAGGAGCTGACTGTAATGGGTGCAGGAGCTGACTGTAATGGGTGCAGGAGCTGACTGTAATAGGTGCAGTAGCTGACTGTAATAGGTGCAGTAGCTGACTGTAATGGGTGCAGTAGCTGACTGTAATAGGTGCAGTAGCTGACTGTAATGGGTGCAGTAGCTGACTGTAATAGGTGCAGGAGCTGACTGTAATAGGTGCAGGAGCTGACTGTAATGGGTGCAGTAGCTGACTGTAATGGGTGCAGTAGCTGACTAATGGGTGCAGTAGCTGACTGTAATAGGTGCAGTAGCTGACTGTAATGGGTGCAGTAGCTGACTGTAATAGGTGCAGTAGCTGACTGTAATGGGTGCAGTAGCTGACTGTAATAGGTGCAGTAGCTGACTGTAATGGGTGCAGTAGCTGACTGTAATGGGTGCAGTAGCTGACTGTAATAGGTGCAGTAGCTGACTAATGGATGTAGGAGCTGACTGTAATGGGTGCAGTAGCTGACTGTAATAGGTGCAGGAGCTGACTGTAATAGGTGCAGTAGCTGACTGTAATGGGTGCAGTAGCTGACTGTAATAGGTGCAGTAGCTGACTGTAATAGGTGTAGGAGCTGACTGTAATGGGTGCAGTAGCTGACTGTAATAGGTGCAGGAGCTGACTGTAATAGGTGCAGTAGCTGACTAATGGGTGCAGTAGCTGACTGTAATAGGTGCAGTAGCTGACTGTAATAAGTGTAGTAGCTGACTGTAATGGGTGCAGGAGCTGACTGTAATATGTTTATGAGCCGACTGTAATAGGTGCAGGAGCCGACTGTAATAGGTGCAGTAGCTGACTGTAATAGGTGCAGGAGCTGACTGTAATAGGTGCAGGATCTGACTGTAATAGGTGCAGGAGCCGACTGTAGTATGTTTAGGAGCCGACTGTAATATGTTTAGGAGCCGACTGTAATAGGTGCAGTAGCTGACTGTAATAGGTGCAGTAGCTGACTGTAATAGGTGCAGTAGCTGACTGTAATAGGTGCAGTAGCTGACTGTAATAGGTGCAGTAGCTGACTGTAATAGGTGCAGTAGCTGACTGTAATAGGTGCAGGAGCCGACTGTAATATGTTTAGGAGCCGACTGTAATAGGTGCAGGAGCCGACTGTAATATGTTTAGGAGCCGACTGTAATATGTTTAGGAGCCGACTGTAATAGGTGCAGTAGCTGACTGTAATAGGTGCAGGAGCTGACTGTAATAGGTGCAGGAGCTGACTGTAATAGGTGCAGGAGCTGACTGTAATAGGTGCAGGAGCTGACTGTAATAGGTGCAGGAGCCGACTGTAATAGGTGCAGGAGCCGACTGTAATATGTTTAGGAGCCGACTGTAATATGTTTAGGAGCACTGTAATAGCTGACTGTAATAGGTGCAGGAGCTGACTGTAATAGGTGCAGGAGCTGACTGTAATAGGTGCAGGAGCTGACTGTAATGGGTGCAGGAGCCGACTGTAATAGGTGCAGGAGCCGACTGTAATAGGTGCAGTAGCTGACTGTAATAGGTGCAGTAGCTGACTGTAATAGGTGCAGGAGCCGACTGTAATAGGTGCAGGAGCCGACTGTAATAGGTGCAGGAGCCGACTGTAATAGGTGCAGGAGCTGACTGTAATAGGTGCAGTCGCTGACTGTAATAGGTGCAGGAGTTGACTGTAATGGGTGCAGGAGCTGACTGTAATGGGTGCAGGAGCCGACTGTAATAGGTGAAATAGCTTTCTGAAATAGGTACAGTAGCTCTGAGTAGCAGTTGATGATCGTTCCTCAATGCTAAAATGTGTCTAGCTTCTTTTTCTCTGCTATTAGCATCTTAGTACATTGTAATTTAGACTTGTGTATCTGAGGCTGTTCTGAATATGAATAGTCTTCCAGGCTTGGTGACTTTGATAATTGCTTGATTGCTTATGAATCTCGGATTTCTCTCCAGTAGAACATTTGTGGCATTAACTTAAAGTTAATAGATTCGTTGTCATTACCCCATTTGCCAATTTCCTGGTGGTGGTGAGGCATCAGCCCAGAAGAAGTAGGTGAGCAATAGAGGATTCGGTGAACAATAGATACCATATCTTTCACAATATATATTGCCGCATGATATAGAATTTGCATTATCACAATTCATCTAGAGATCCACATTAGCTTGCCGCTGCTTCCTGCAATTATGTATTAAATCCTTCCTCCGAGTTCTGAAAATAAATATTTGAACATTCAATCCCTTTTAATAAAGTTATTCCATCCAGCCTTATTGGCCACCATTTCTTGTTCACTGAATCTGGTTTCTTGCACTTAATACCTGATTTCTCTCACACACTAGTTATCGTATCTGTCCATCGTTTTCTTAGCTGTCGTCTTTTCCCTCCAGCCTTAAAATTCACTGCGATATACTCATCAATTCTTTTAGTATGATCAAATAATTTCAATAAATGCTCTGTAATCTTAGGATTGACCGACTATTGCATTCCATATCTTTCCATAGCTTTAATTTCTGAGTATGCAAAATTCCCAATTATTGGTATTATAATTTATCCTAACACCTGAAATGCATCATAGATGGTCCATTTCTACTGTTGTAGATAATGATTCATAGTTACTTTGTATCAGCATCTAACATCTGTATTTAAGGGTAAGCACTACTACCACTTTGTGCAGATCTCTAGCTGCACCTCTACCCATGTTATTCTTCCTATTATTTCATATCATCAGTCTTTTTCCCTGACTTATTCCATTGTAAACTTTCTCAAATATTCCTCATTTGTCATTGATGTCTCCTGGTAATACAACTGATTGATCACTTTTAGGAGACTTCTCTATTTACCCCTATTTCACACACTCGTTTTTTGTTTTTTTTCACAACCATTACTGCTTTAATTAACAATAATTTTAAAGTCGACTCACACAAGGAACAAAACTTTCATCCAATCAACATAGATCTCAACCATTTCCTGACAGAAGAACTGTATTTGCCGCACACATTCAATTAATATATTCTAGTTTTGTGCACCATACACTAACATACCCTTTGCTGATATTCTTTGATGTGTCTGATGATCGTTTCCCTACAAACTGCAGTATATTGTTCCATACAACAGTGAGGATGAGCATTCTATCCACTGATCATGGTACCTTACAATCCTCTCCCTTACTAAACTATTACTTCTTATGTTAATGCAATCCATTTCTTGCCCAAGTGATATTAATGTTGTTATCCTCGATTGTCTTCATCAAATCTTGAGTGTGGCATTACTTTGATTAATGTCCATGTTTGAGTACTTGATTTTTATTTTGTTGGTTTGCAGTGTGACCCATTTAGTATAAAAAGTTTGTGATTTTAGTTTAACTGATTTATATTATTATGGACTGTTATTTTGTTGAATAAATTTTGGCAGAAGTTGAAAACAGTGTCGGGAGCAGAAAAATGTGTGGGGGCAACCCAGCAGCGATAGAACGCATGTTAGCCTTCGGGAGAGAGGTACAACACATGAGCCAGGTTCTGAGGAGGGAACTAGGCAAGAACGATCACAATAAGAAAATACTACAAGTAAGTTAGTAGACAAAATATTAAAGTTCTGTGAGAAGTCTATTTTGTGCCTTTTTGACAGTATTTATTAATTATATTACCATTGCCTTGTTCAAATTGTGTGGATGAATAAGTTTTCCATAAATATTATAATATGCCTATGTTTGTGTAGCAGTTTATTAGTTACAGTGTGTGTAGTTATCTCTCCCGAGATAACTACTGTACTGTACAGGACTCTCTACACTACATACAAGTATTATATAATGTCTCCCTGACTCATTTCCTTCTTCTTTTTCTTCTACTTTTGTCCTGTCCTATTTTGCATTTGGAAAAGGCTGTCCTTGTGTATATTAAGAATATGGAAACTACAGCAGGTTTCATGGGAAAAATTTTTCCCATGAAAGACAAAGAAAGGAAATTTTTCCCTGATCATGGAAAAAAATCGAGATGACATATTTTGGCCACAATAGGACGAAAAAGTCTGGCAAAATTGAGGCGTTAACATAGTACGCTTTAGCGCCGATCTGCTCCACCTGCGCTGTAAGGCGGGAGTTGCCACAAAGATATTATTACCTAATTATTTCAATGTGTCTGATTTTGTCTGTTTTTTGCAGTAATGTTATTCAGTAGTGTGTAATGTGATATATTTATACTGTATAATAAAATGTGTGAACCATCGCTAAACTCAAAAGTATGGTGTGCATATAAGTGATTCAGTTATTATGTTCATAAAACAATGAACAAATATTTTTGCTGTTATTGCACTATATACACACAGGTTATATATAAGTATCTGCATGTTTTGTTCACCATAACAAACCACTAAGTTGGTATGGTGAGTCCAAACAAGAAGAGTGGCCGCCACACCCAGACAGCAGACCCTACCTCCCTCCTTCCTTCAATACCTCTCTTGCCAACATTCATCCTCCCTACTATACTGATTTTGTTGTTATTACACTATATACACATTATATATAAATATCTACATGTTTTGTTCACCATAACTGTACACCTAAGCTGGTATGGTGTCCAAACAGCATAGTGGCCACCATACACTGCATGACAAGTCACACCAGCCAGCAGACAACACCATCTCCCTCACTAAAATGGCTCCTTTTGCATACTCCTTTTGCATACTCCTTTTGCTGTTATTACACTATATATACACACGTTACTGTATATACAAGTATTTACATTTGTGTTCACCATAGCAAACCACTAAGCTGGTATGGTGAGTCCAGACAATAACAGGTCGCCACACAGTCAACAGACGACGCCACCTCCCTTCCTCACCAAGATTACTCCTCCCACCATACTACGCACATCGCTAATTATCTCCACAATCCTGCTGTTATCAGAATCCTGGTCATTTTCATCACATTCAGGCTCTTCTGTAATACTATCATTGCTAAATAATAGCTGTTACATATATGTTTTGACATTTTTAGGCAATGCTGTGGCCAAAAGCTGAACAGCAGTGCTGTTAGCTCATGCTGCGTGCCTCAGCCTTGGTTGCTCACTCAGTACTGAGGCTCTAACACCTGGGAATGTTACCCATGATTTTTTTCAAGATAGCATCTGTTTACTGGAGTCCTGAGAGACAGGATGTGAGCCCCATGTTCCTGTGGGAGTTTGAATCTCTCTCTATACCTAAAAATGCCGCATGGCGCTCTGCACACTCTCGATCCAGTGCTACAAGGCATTCTGTGCAGTGCAGTGCAGTGGTTAAGGGTTAACCCCCACCACTGTGCATAAGAAAAAAAAAATTCTTTGAAGATTATTAAAATGTGTTCCTTGATCACAGGAAAAATGCTAAAAAAATCGTAGGTGACATATTTTGGCTGCAATAGAGCGAGGAAGTCTGGCAAAATTGAGGGGCGCTGACAGAGTAAGCGTCTGGGGTCGGTCGGTCTCTACCCAAGCTATCAGGCAGGAGTTTACCACAATGATGATATTACCTAATTATTTCAATGTCTCTTTTTCTCTTTTTTTTTTTTTTTTTTTGCAATAATATTATTCAGTAGTGTGTAGTGATATATTTATATAATAAAATGTGTGAACCATCACTATAATCATAAGTATGGTGTGCATATTAGTGATTCAATTATGATCTTAAAATGCTAAATAAATATTTTTGCTGCTATTACACTATATACACACATGTTATATATAGGTATTTGCATGTTTTGTTCACCATAACAAACCACTAAGCCCAGTATGGTGCATCGAAACAGCATAGTGGCCACCAACACACCAGTGAGGTGATGACACTACCTCACTGCCAAGATTCCTCCTCCCACCATACTGTGTATGCTGTTATTGCACTATATAGTGTTATGCACATTATATTTAAGTATCTATATGTTTAGTTCACCATAACTGTATGACTAAGCTGGTATGGTGTCCAGACAACATAGTGGCCACTGTACACTGCATGACAAGTTGCACAGCAGCTAGCAGACGACAGCACCTCACTCCCTCCCTTACCAACACCGCCCTCACCAAAATGGCTCCTCCCTGCATGCTGTTTGTGCTGTTATTACACTATATTCACACATTATATATAAGTATTTGTATTCATCATAATGAACCACTGAGCTGGTATGGTGAGTCCAGACAATAAGAGAGGTCCCCACACAAGAGTCAGCAGACTATGCTACATCATGCCCTCCCTAATCAAGATTACTCCTCCCACCATACTATGCACAATCCTGTAAAGGAATAATTTTCCACAAGTTTATTTTGTAAAGGAACATGAGAAGTGGTTTCAAGATTCTTAGATTGACCAAACAATGGCAGTGTGCTGTGGCTAGTGCTGTGAACATCTTGAACAACATTGTGTTCACTGATATCTGAACATTGTACACACTCTTTATCACAGTCAGGCTCTTCTGTAATACTATCATTGCTAAATAATAGCAGTTACTGTACATATATATTTTGATTTTTTAGGCAATGCTGTGGTCATAAGCTAACAGCAGTGCTGTTAGCTTGTGCTGCGTGTGTCAGTCTTGGTTGCTTACTCGGCACTGAGGCTCACACATCCCGAATGTCACCCACAATATTTTTTTTAAATGGCGTCTGTTTACAAGAGCCCTGAGGAAGTTGATGTGAACCCCGTGTAGCTGCAGGACTTTTAAATTTTGTGTGGTACTTTAAAATGTATATATATTCGATGTGCTCTATTATGTCACTTGTACCAAAATTGTATACAATATATACAATTTGTGCTGTTTAAGGGTTACCCTGCCTTGTTTTAGACCATTCAATTTTTTGTAATCTTTTTTTATAAATGACAAGATGATGACAGTATGATGATGCTGTATATTCTATGCCTGGTCTGATGTACACTGTGTATATGGTTTTTGAAGTCTCTGTTTTAGCTTTGTAAAATTAAATTAAAATTAACTGAATTAAAAACATTGATTAGCTGTTTTAATGTTAGTCAGTTGTTGTTTTATATCAATAATTGTACTACTATATTAACTTCTAAAAATCCATTATACCTTAGATTAATATTCCAAAATAATTTCAGGATGCTTTTAGTCTTCTAGCGTACAACGACCCCTGGAATAGTCCTGTTGGTTGGCAGTTAGATCCCTTACAACGAGAACCTGTATGTCAATCTTTAAATTCTGCAATTTTAGGTAAGTATTGAAGAATGAGCGGTGGAATGGGGGTGGTAATCAGGGATACAAATCATGTCATAAACAAGGCTGTTTGGCAACAGATTTTAATTGAAACCTACCTAACCACAATTGACACAGCCTAGCCTAACGATATATATGTATATATGGTTTTGACAATAAGAAAATAAGGTTGTCGAACTGTCTTATTCCACAGCTGTTGTTGAACAATCGCATGCAAATGTTTTGACAGTTGTTGACGCACACTTGGATGCACGTGTTGCCACAGTTGTTGTTTGACACATACAGACACTGCAGGTGTTCCAAAATCCTTATGTGCTTCACAATAGACTTTGTTCTTGAAGATCTTCGTAGCTACTTAAAATTTTTTTTTAACTGTTTTGTACTAAATTTCCAATTCCTCCTCCTATATTGATAATGCACCCTCTGGATTGTATCCACTGGGGCATATAATACCTTCCAAGTTCTCCAGTCATCCAAGTAATTGTTACTCTGGAGGGAATATGTGGCAATAATGTGGCTGTAACACAAGCCAACCCACGCCTGTGAAAAGAAAGTGACGATATTTTGGTCCATCGTGGATTGTTACGAAGTTGTGACGAGGAGGAGTGGGAGTGTACGCGAGTGTAAGTCACCACATCTTCCTCTCTTCCCTTATACTGTCATACTCTTCCACTCCTCTTTTTCACAAGTTGAGAAGGATCCAAGAGGGAATGAGACGTCACCATTTTTCATTTCATGTGTGGGTTTGGTTATAATAGTTACATTGATAATGTGCATCTTTTGAGAACAACAACTTCACTCCTGTCATATATTCATGTTTAGCTTCCTTTCATTACACCACTGCTGTACACTCTCCAGTCAAATAATAGGATTAGTTCCAGCCCCACAGCATCTGATCTTCAAAAACAAGTTTGCTACAATTATTCTGATTCATTGGTGTAGATGATGGAACACACTTTTGTGCTCTGGACTCCGGCTTGAACACACAGATTTGTGCCGATCTGTAGCCGCTACTATAACGGGAGCTATGTTCCATGAACCCTTTAACAGCGCGGTTTAGAAATATGACACCCCCCAGTGCGCAGGAAATAAATTCTCTTGAAAAAATTCTTTTGTTTTTTTAAAGTGTCAAAAACCCTTCCCCCAGTATGGGTATGTCAAAAAAATTTTGAACTTGTACTTACTTTGGCTGCTATGGGTCCGTAAGTTGGCGCGTGACGTTATCATTCCCCGTTCGCCCGTGCAGTAAGCTCCCTGGGCCGGTGGGGCGCCCGGGGTGGGACGAGTGAGTTGCCGCGAATATATTTTTGTTCATTTTTTGCGCACAGTTCCAAATACATTTTATTTGTTTTTACGTGCTAATCCTATGTATAATGAACACGTACACTATATTATGGCAGTATAACATCCGTACTGTCTGAGGGCACTGTGTTACGTGCATGACACTTGTGTACACATTTGTTGCACATATTTACCATGTATCATGCTAATTTATGTATATATACAATCTATTTACAGACTATACACTGTCACACACTATATACATTCACCATCAACACATTCAGAACACCGCGAGTGTGAGCAGCCACACTCAGCCAGCCCTCCCTCACTCCTCCGACATCTTACTCGCCAACATCTTACTCGCCAACATTGCTCCTCCAAATCATACAGTTATTCACACCAATGTTTCATGTTCATTTATGTATATTTACAACATATGTGCACACTATACACTGTCACACACTATATACATTCACCATCAACACGCTCAGAACACCATGAGTGTGAGCAGCCACACCCAGCCAGCCCTCCCTCACTCCAACATCTTACTCACCAACATTGCTCCTCCCACCGTACTGTTATTGTATTTATTACACAATTTACACATGTTATATATACCTATCTACATGTTTTATTTACCAGAACTATGCAGGCAAGCCAGTATTGTGTCTAAACAGTACAGTGGCCACCATACACTTCATGACAAATCACACAGCAGACAACAGACGATGCCACGATTACGACGTCACCTCCCTCACCAAAATAGCTCCTCACAACATACTCCTGGTGCTGTTATTACACTATTCACACACTGTATATACTCATGTACATGTGTGTTCCCCATAGCGAACCACGAAGCTAGTATGGTGAGCAAAACAGAGTTACTGCCACACAGTGAGGGTACCTCAATTCTCTCCTTTCCTCCCTCCCTCATCACAATTCCTCCTTCCTACGCACAACGCTCATTGTAACCACAATCCTGGTCACTAATACCTGTAAATGAATAATTGACCACAAGTTTATTTTGAAAAGGAACCTAAAAAGTCATTTGAAGATTCCTAGATGGATGAAATAATGCTGTGGTGCTGTGGCTAGCGCTGTGAACATCGTGAACAGCATTGAATTACTGATATTTGAACATTGTACCCAGTCATTATCACACTCGGGCTCTTCTATAATACTATCATGGCTAAATAAAACAGATTATATATATATATATTGACAATATTAGGCGATGCTGTGGTCACACGCTGAACAGGAGTGCTGTGCGCTCATGCTGCGAGAGCCAGCCTTGGTTGCTCACTCACTACTGAGGCTCTGACACCCGGCAATGTGGACCATGATTTTTTTTTAAGATGGCGTCTGTTTACAAGAGCCCTGAGGAAGCTAATGTGAACCCCATGTAGCCGCGGGAGTTTTGAATGGAACGTGAAAAATAAAAACACCCGGAGGCGCGTTGTGCACCCGAAGCCTGGGCCTGCAGGCGCGTTGCGCTGTTAAAGGGTTAATGTTTGTCAGTTTAATTATTGTTCTGTTGTGTTTTTATTAGTGCAAATGATGGAATACACTTTGCACACTGATGATACACTACTTGATAAAAAGAATGTTTGTATAGATTTTGTTGATTTGGTACATTTTTTGGCACCAAATTCCATTCCAATTCCATTCCAATGGAATTTGTCATTATCTGGAAACATTTAGTTATTTCCTGTTGCAACGGAAAAAAAAGTTGTAGTGTCAAACAGCCTTCTCTTCCATCTTGTTTTTGTTTTCACCATTTCCATACTAGCGGGCTTCCATTGTGTATTGATACCAAAATCACTTGTAAAATGCCCAAATAATCTAAAAATAATTTTCTTGAATTTATATAATATTTGTTGGTCTATTTAATATTCTTCTCTAGTTGAGATTTCTTGTTCGTCTGAATGCTGTTCGGTTGTTTTTGTTGGATCCAATCGCTTATCAGATTGGAAATCCTCCATTGCATGCGATGGTATGGCAGACCGGGTTCCATTTTGTTCTTTCTGCCTGTCATTTTGAGACTTGAAACATTGTGGGACAAAGATATATTTTTGAAGCTTTACTTTATACACAATTAGAACATTCTGCTAGATGTTTAACTGTGTGTGGTTGTGTGTACCTAGTAGCTAGTTTGTGGTGGTTGTGTGTACCTTGTTCTCTTCACCCACACTTCCACTTGTGCCCCCATGTTCTCTTCTCTCTCACTTCCACTTGTGCCCCCATGTTCTCTTCTCTCTCACTTCCACTTGTGCCCCCATGTTCTCTTCTCTCTCACTTCCACTTGTGCCCCCATGTTCTCTTCTCTCTCACTTCCACTTGTGCCCCCTTGTTCTCTTCTCTCTCACTTCCACTTGTGCCCCCATGTTCTCTTCTCTCTCACCTCCACTTGTGCTCCCTTGTTTTCTTCTACCTCACTTCCACTTGTGCCCCCTTGTTCTCTTCTCCCACACTTCCACTTGTGCCCCCATGTTCTCTTCTCTCTCACTTCCACTTGTGCCCCCTTGTTCTCTTCTCTCTCACTTCTACTTGTGCTCCCTTGTTCTCTTCTACCTCACTTCCACTTGTGCCCCCATGTTCTCTTCTCCCTCACTTCCACTTGTGCCCCTTTGTTCTCTTCTCTCTCACTTCTACTTGTGCTCCCTTGTTCTCTTCTCTCTCACTTCTACTTGTGCTCCCTTGTTCTCTTCTCTCTCACTTCTACTTGTGCCCCCTTGTTCTCTTCTCTCTCACTCCCAGTTGTGCCCCCTTGTTCTCTTCTCTCTCACTTCTACTTGTGCTCCCTTGTTCTTTTCTCTCTCACTTCCACTTGTGCCCCCTTGTTCTCTTCTCTCTCACTCCCAGTTGTGCCCCCTTGTTCTCTTCTACCTCACTCCCAGTTGTGCCCCCTTGTTCTCTTCTCTCTCACTTCTACTTGTGCTCCCTTGTTCTCTTCTCCCTCACTTCCACTTGTGCTCCCTTGTTCTCTTCTCCCTCACTTCCACTTGTGCTCCCTTGTTCTCTTCTCCCTCACTTCCACTTGTGCCCCCTTGTTCTCTTCTCTCTCACTTCTACTTGTGCTCCCTTGTTCTCTTCTCCCACACTTCCACTTGTGCTCCCTTGTTCTCTTCTCCCTCACTTCCACTTGTGCCCCCTTGTTCTCTTCTCTCTCACTTCCACTTGTGCCCCCATGTTCTCTTCTCCCTCACCTCCACTTGTGCCCCCTTGTTCTCTTCTCTCTCACTTCCACTTGTGCTCCCTTGTTCTCTTCTCTCTCACTTCCACTTGTGCCCCCTTGTTCTCTTCTCCCTCACCTCCACTTGTGCTCCCTTGTTCTCTTCTCCCACACCTCCACTTGTGCTCCCTTGTTCTCTTCTCCCACACTTCCACTTGTGCTCCCTTGTTCTCTTCTCCCTCACTTCCACTTGTGCCCCATGTTCTCTTCTCCCTCACTCCCACTTGTGCCCCCTTGTTCTCTTCTCTCTCACTTCCACTTGTGCCCCATGTTCTCTTCTCCCTCACTTCCACTTGTGCCCCCTTGTTCTCTTCTCTCTCACTTCCACTTGTGCCCCCTTGTTCTCTTCTACCTCACTCCCAGTTGTGCCCCCTTGTTCTCTTCTCCCTCACTTCCACTTGTGCTCCCTTGTTCTCTTCTCCCTCACTTCCACTTGTGCTCCCTTGTTCTCTTCTCCCTCACTTCCACTTGTGCTCCCTTGTTCTCTTCTCCCTCACTTCCACTTGTGCTCCCTTGTTCTCTTCTCCCTCACTTCCACTTGTGCTCCCTTGTTCTCTTCTCCCTCACTTCCACTTGTGCTCCCTTGTTCTCTTCTCCCTCACTTCCACTTGTGCTCCCTTGTTCTCTTCTCCCTCACTTCCACTTGTGCTCCCTTGTTCTCTTCTCCCTCACTTCCACTTGTGCTCCCTTGTTCTCTTCTCTCTCACTTCCACTTGTGCCCCCTTGTTCTCTTCTACCTCACTCCCACTTGTGCCCCCTTGTTCTCTTCTCCCTCACTTCCACTTGTGCTCCCTTGTTCTCTTCTCTGGTCTCAAGTACGTGTCTCATAGTAATCTTTGCACGTGCTGGAAAGTTTTCATTCTTGACTCGGGATCGGGGATCTTGAGTTCGATTCTTGGGCGGGACAAAAATGGTTAGGGACGTTTCCATTTACTTAATGTCTCGGCTCACCAAGCAGTAAACAGGTACCCGGGAGTTAGGCAATTGTTGTGAGAGGGTGAATAGTTTGACCTCTGGGGGACCTCTGTACAAGCCTAATGTATTGTATGTTCGTACATAGGCTTTCTATACCCAATAAAACTAATTATTGTTCTTATTAAGTAAAGAGTCCCAACATAGATTTAATTTTTAATTTTAATAAAACAGTACTGTTGCTTTATTGAGCTGTTCTGGTGCATTGATGAAGAAAGTGAGAATCATATGAAATTGTGTAGTGTATGTGGACATCTTGCCTGGAAGTGAACTCAACTTGGTGTTGCTGGAAGATGATGATGATGTATAACTTATCACTCATAGTCCACACTCCTCTTCTGTTGAAGCCAGCAAATCATTGTTATATGTATGTACTTTAGCTACAATACTTAAGTACAGTACAAGCAACTATCATGGTACAGTACAAGTGACTGTCATGGTACAGTACATGCAACTATCATGGTACAGTATATACAACTATCATGGTATAGTACATGCAGCTATCATGGTACAGTACATGCAGCTATCATGGTACAGTACAAGTGACTGTCATGGTACAGTACAAGCAACTATCATGGTACAGTACAAGCAGCTATCATGGTACAATTGATTGTCTGCAATAAAAATAATGAAAACTCCAAAAGGTCTATTGACCAGTACAAGACGGCTCCTATTTATATCCACCCAAACTTATTCATATACAGTACTGTATACAGTACTGTATGTATACGTGAGGGGTCGGCCAGTTATGCCCCATATGTGTAGTGGAAGCATGTTGAACAGGCCCGAGACTGTTCAACACGCTTCCACTACATATAAGGGGCATAACTGGCCGACCCCTCACGGTGTTCAAGACAGAACTTGACAAACACCTCCAAAGGATACCTGATCAACCAGGCTGTGACTCATTTGTCATGCTGCGAGCAGCCGCTTCCAACAGCCTGGTTGATCAGTCCAGCAACCAGGAGGCCTGGTCGACGACCGGGCCGCGGGGACGCTAATCCCCGGAAGCACCTCAAGGTAACCTCAAGGTATATAAAAATAATAATTATTCATTGTATCGGGGGACAAGCAGCCAGAGTGTATTCATACACATTAAGCTTATATCGAGGCTCCCCCCCCCCTCCCCTCCCCCCCATGGTCGAGTTACTGACCCCAGTATTTAATCAGATCTTTTCTGAATTACCATCCTACTACTCTCATTGTATTAAATTTTATTAAGGAAAAAGATGGAATTTTGTATTTTATTTTGATGCAGTATTATAATTTACAGAGTCTCATCAGCTGCCAAGAAGACCCCCTCTAGAGATCTGTGTGGCGCACACGAAGCAGCTGATCAATTTGATGTCTCGCTCAGGACTTGGGTCGTGTGCCTTCGCCAGCGTAGATTCTATTCTAGGCAGCCAACAGTGACACTTCCTTAATGGGCCCTTTACTTCTCTCTCAGGGGCCACAAAGCCACTTATCTCATGTTTTGGACCGAATTCCAAAACATTGTTTGCAGTCTGCTTGGCAAAGTCCAAATCACAAGCAGTCAGTGATCTTTTTGAGGGACACACCGAATCAAATTACTGAAAAAATAGCTCGAGTGCATCCTGTACAAAGTGAGCTCAGTTGACATCATGGAATTCGGGACCGTTTATCTTGCTCTGGCGTCAGGGAAATGTTTCATTAATCTCAAATGAATTGAGAAGGAATAATTTCTTCCAGACGCTCAAGGTTTATTGTACATAGGTTTAGTTGTTCCCTTGAACTTGGGCCCACCACCACCACGCTCTCTTCATGATGAGGCACGCTACAATGAGCATTAAAAGCACTTTCTACAAGGTTGGTGAGGTGTAATGACCATAAATTTGAAAACTAAAGCTACATTTCAGGTCATATTGCCATTAATACAGCTGTTCTATATTTTTATTGTGGGAGTGTGAATCATTTCCTTGACAAAGGAAGCGATCGATGTAGATCTCTTAAATCAGAAAGTGGAATGTTAACATTATTTTTAAAAAAGAATTTCACTTTAATTTATTCCAGGGAGTTGTGATGATGCCAGTGTGTGACATGCAATATTGGTTATTATATGAGTACTGTATTTAGTTATGAGCAAGTGGTTGCAAGGGGAGCATGTGCATCATGGTTAGGCCTTTATTAGTTCTCATATTTATTGTATTGACTTTTGCAGCATTTCATTTTGTTTGGGAAGGCAACTATGGAAGAGTCTTGAGTTTTATCATGACATTGAAAGTGCATTAGAAACTACTCTTAAGGCATCGGGTGAAGACTGTTGAGGCAACCTGGGGTCACTGTCACATTACTGTGTTAGCAGATTAAGGTCTGGGGTTATTGAAAAGCAAAAATACAAAGCGCCCTCTTCACTGCATGTGAAAAGCTGCGAAGTGTTGCTATAGTGTGGCCTTCACATCAGGGCGGTAGAGACGGTTTAATTTAAAAATGGTTTATTTGTAATTTTAGGCGAGTTTCATTAATGAGGAGTTCAGCCAAGCCTGGAAGCTCTTTAGCTCATCTCTTGGTCATGAAGTACACACAATATCACTAGTGCAGAATGTTATGTAAAACATCAACAGATATTTGCATGTTTGCATTAGTGCATTTAAATTGGAGCTTATACTTGAATTCATTTTCATTTTTGACTTTAAAATGTAAATGAGAATCTTTGAAAAGTATCGCATAGAATTTAGGGCTGTTTTAAGTGGAGGAATTTTTTATTTGTCCTTTGATAATATGGATAAGGCTCAATTTAAGGAGAAATGGAAGAGTTTGTGGTGTCCACATTACAATTAGCAGGTAATCTTATACCGGACACATTGCTTCATTGGTCATTGAATGTGATATTGGAGGTTTCTCTTGATGCATTGTGTCCTTCACTTCTACATTATGGTCACATCAGTTTATCTATATTAATTCACAATGGAGAATTGTAGTTGTCCTCTCCTAATGAGGAATAGACCAGATTCATTTGTGACATGGTACAGTACATGCAGTACAGTACAGTACAGTGCAGGAGCTGGTCTTTTATTTTTATTTTTATTACATAGTCTACACATGCATCCAAAATCACAATCTCTTTCTTGAGGAACGTAGGGGATTATAATTTTTAAGTTATAGTTTGAGCAGTTAATAGATATTGTATATGCTCACAAATTATCTGCAGGACTGTAGAGAGTTTTAACTCAAATAGTAGATATTGATTTTGGTCTTGAGTGAAGGTTTTGTGTTGTGGCGCCTCTCACTCGGTAACTATAGAAACCAAAATCCATCATAATGTTGCCATTCTCTTTGTTGAAATTGTTTTGATTAAAAACATTTTTATTTTTTTTTGGATACATAACTTTAACATTTGTGTCTCCCCAGGACAAGAAGGTGCTCATAATTCTATTGTTAATAGAATACAGCCTCAGACTTGAAAATAGAAGGTGCATGAGCTTAATGACAGTAACGAGGTATTGAATCTTAACCTTTCCTCTCGGCTTGAATTGCAAGTACTGTAGAAAGTAAACACATGAAGTGGATTTTGAGGGGAGCAACAGAGTATGATAAAGATTGTACTGTATTCAGGATAATAAAAGATAATTCATGGGTTATTTTTTTGAGGGATGATCTCAGAAAAAAAATTGCTTGAATGTATATTCTGTACTGTATTTGTCTGGAGCAAGTTTGGTGATTTTGTTTTTTATATTATTGTTGTTGCTGTGGAAAGATGCATGTCATAAAAAGAGCAGATTGTTGGGAACAGATGCTAGTACTGGTTAAACATCTTTGTTTATTGATGTGGACATGTGGCTGAAGTATGTCAAGTATAGCTGACTAAATTTATTGAGGTAAACCAGGTTTCTTATTAAATCATAAATATCCATACCTTCTTGCTCTCACTGCTTGTGATGGAGAAAGATTTTTATTACACCAATATTGTTAAGTTTTAGTAGTTTCCTCCCAGTGAATCACCACCTTTACCTATCATCATTTTTTTTCTTAGAATGTTTACCGAATTTTTAAAATTCACAAAATAATTTTTATCCAAAATTAGAGCCTTTATGACAGACTGCAAGCAAATAATAGATACAGATATCCAATAACTAATTGACATTGTACCTAAACAAAAACTATATACAGATAACTCACTTAAAAATGCTATTGTAATGTTAATACATTTTTTGCAGTATTTTCAATATTGCCGTTACAAATACATAGTCTTTGATAAACAAATTATGTAATAGCAAGAATTAACTTGAACAAATACATGATATAAAAAGATGACATTGTTTATCTAACCCCACAGAAAATCGCGATAGCTTTCTGGAAATAATTTGGGTAACTTACTTGGTGATGGGTTATACTGAAAGAAACTCAGTCTTGTTGCTCCTGGGTGAGGCAACTTATAAATATATAATTGTTATTTTATCTATTATACTGTACAAACATTTTATCTTTTATCCTATTTGACATAGCTTTTTGTGTTGACATTATACACTGTATATATACAGAGTACAGACACAGATGGATATATATTGTCAGACATAATAGCCAGAATGACACAACAGGTCTAATATGCAGGTCATGCTGCCTAATAGCCAGAATGACACAACAGGTCTAATATGCAGGTCATGCTGCCTAATAGCCAGAATGACACAACAGGTCTAATATGCAGGTCATGCTGCCTAATAGCCAGAATGACACAACAGGTCTAATATGCAGGTCATGCTGCCTAATAGCCAGAATGACACAACTGGTCTAATATGCAGGTCATGCTGCCTAATAGCCAGAATGACACAACCGGTATAATATGCAAGAGCTATATTTCTTAATAACCAGAACTGCATGGATGGTCTAATACTCAAGAGCTGAATTGCCTAGTAGCCAGAAATCATTACTGGTCTAATATGCAGGAACTATATTAAAAAAGCCTAGTAGCCTCAAGATAACCTCAAGATAAGATAGCTAGACTTGCACAGCTAGTGTTATGCAGATATTGTATTGCCTAGTAGCCAGAGCTATGTGGCTGGCCTAATATGCAGGAGCGGTATTGCCTAGTAGCCAAAACTGCATGGCTGGTCTAGTATGCAGGAACTGTATTGCCTAATAGCCAGAACTGCATGGCTGGTCTAGTATGCAGGAAATGTATTGCCTAATAGTCAACTGCATGGCTGGTCTAATATGCAGGAGCTATATTGTCAAGTAGCCAGAACCACACAGCTAGTCTAATAAGCAGTTGTTATATTGTCAAATATTCAAAGCATTTTTTATTCTCTTGTACCTCTCCTAAATTTTGGCTACACTTAGTGAAATTATTATATTGCTTTAATCCCTATTTTATGAAGGCATAGTTTTGCCTATGTTAGATATGATCAGCTTACTAAGATACATTTCCAGTAATTTATTTTAGATGTTATTTATACTGGTATTAAACATAGCATAGGAATTCAAATTCCCAAGTTAAATTGAAAAATAGAAAAAAATACAATTTGTTAAATAACTCTGGCCATTATGTGTGACATACATACATGAGTAAATACATGTACATATATGGCTGTATGTATGTGTGTGTGTGTGTGTGTGTGTGTGTGTGTGTGTCTATCTATCTATATATCTATCTATCCTGAGTGTGTGTGTGTGTGTGTGTGTGTGTATATATATATATATATATATATATATATATATATATATATATATATATATATATATATATATATATATATATATATATATATATATATATATATATATATATGTCGTATATAGCCAGAACGCATCAGCCTATATATATAAGCCAAGTTTTCATATATATATATATGAAATATAAATATCATTATATGAGGTATATATATATATATATATATAACCTAACCTATCTTTATAGGATAGGTTAGGTAACCGAAAAAGTTAGGTTAGGTATAGGTATATACATGAAAACACACACACACACACACACACACACACACACACACACACACATATACACACACACACATACACACACACACACACACACACACACACACACACACACATATATACACACATACATAAAAAATATATTTTTCAAAGTAGCACATTATAGAATGGCTATGGGTTGCAAAAATGTTTCAAAATGAAAAGTGATCCTGTACATTATCGCGATTTTCTTGGGTGCGTTGGTCGAGAAGTTTAGAGAAGTCGAGTGACACCAATATGCTGGGCATTTTACTTCACATCTAACACATTTATTTATACATTTTTTGTTTTTTACTATTTTATTAATGTTTTAAGAAATATATATTTTTTAAGTTTACGAGTGCTGTCCACTGCTGGTTCTATGCAGGAATGCTTGCCTGGAATCCTTGTCAAACAAACTATGTAGTGTTTTGTTTGATATTTGCTTTAACATTTTGCCTTCTATGATCAGATCTAAAAGAAAAAAGAAAAAGGAAAAAATTAGCATACATTACGTAAAGTACAATTTTTTGGTTTATTAATACTGTATACCTATAAGGTTAAAATATTATTTGGTATAAAAGAAATTTAAAATTTTATTAGTTATAATTTTAGTAGAATTTTTATTTATTTGAAAATGCTTTATGAAATTCATTATTTATGATTTTAAAATGAATTTTGAATAAGAATTAGGAGAAAATATAATAATCATCAAACAGATCATTCACATTAAGTTCATGTTAAAACTATTGACAACATTAAACCGAAAATGAATATATTTTGAACTCGTTTAGAAGTGATTCTCAGTTAAAACCTTTGTGTGGAACTGGGAGTGTATTGTACTCTAGTGAAAAACTAGGCACAATTATTGGGTTGTTAGTGAGAAGTGTTTGCCAGTTATTAACTACAAGTTTTTTATGTTTTTTTTAATAAAATAGTGAAAAAAATATAAGTCATTTAAACACCCTCCATACTTATAACTCCAAGTTGCTTCCAAAAGTGAGACCATTATTCTTCAGTTTGTATAGTATTGTACTCTTAGACCAAAGGATAAGGATTGTACTCTAGGCCAAAGCATAGTACTGTAGACCAAAAGATAGTACTCTAGACCAAATGATAGTACTTTTGTCGAACAATAATACTCTAGACCCAAAGATAGTACTCTAGGTCAAAAGACAATATTCCATGTCAAAAATAGTACTCCAGGCCAAAAATAGTACTCTAGACCAAAAGATAGTACTCTAGGCCAAGAGATAGTACTCTAGGCCAAAAGATAGTACTCTAGGCCAAAAGATAGTACTGTAGGCCAAGAGATAGTACTCTAGGCCAAAAGATAGTACTCTAGGCCAAAAGATAGTACTGTAGGCCAAAAGATAGTACTCTAGGCCAAGAGATAGTACTCTAGGCCAAAAGATAGTACTCTAGGTCAAAGGGTAGTACTCTAGGCCAAAGGATAGTACTCTAGGCCAAAGGATAGTACTCTAGGCCAAAAGATAGTACTCTAGGACAAAAGATAGTACTCTAGGCCAAGAGATAGTACTCTAGGCCAAAGGATAGTACTCTAGGCCAAAAGATAGTACTCTAGGTCAAAGGATAGCACTCTAGGCCAAAGGATAGTACCATATATTTGCCAGTGGAGAGGGTGCACGTTTTTGGTTGACTACCAAGTCGACATATGTGTATGTATATGAACAAAATCTCATGTTTAACCCCTAACTGAACCACTTGAAAGTCACCCTTAACAAATGTAAGATGAAACATGATTTTGTCCACAAAATATCCATGTATAATATATGTCCCTTATCCGCCAGCATATAAGGTACTCCAGACCAAATTCAATGTTGAGTCATTGTTGGTTCAATGTCATACTTATGCCACTCTCGAATTGTGCACACTGGGAAATTGCTCATTTTAATAACTTAATTTTTAATTTTTTTTAGATGCTTTATTTCAATTAACACTATTATTAATATTCACGGTTTTCAGGCAATAAATAGGTGATCATGGCATGGAAGCATCATGGGAAAATTTATAAAAGGTCATCATTGAACGTGTTCAAAATATGTGCCATGAAGGTAAATGAAGAGAAAACGAACTAGATGGATAACATAATTTCAATTATTATTATACACTCCATACTGATCCCTTGGGCGGTGGTGGAAAGGGTTACAATGGCACATAATGGGTTCAGGAACTGAACTCCACAGTTGACAAGCAGTAAAAAAGAGCTCTAATAATTAAGTGGAACCTCTGCAGATGGTATCAATATGCGAAGAACAACGGATTATGAGATATATAGGAGGAGGGGGCCTTAAATTCACCCACCCAGGAAATCCGATCACATAAAAAAACTGTGAAAGAACACTTCCTCAAAACATTAAGAAAAATAGTCTTTCAATGCCTATATAAAAAGTAAAACCCAAACGAAAGACTCGACAGTAGGACGCTTAAATGATGAGACCAACAAAGTTATAATTCATAATAAAAGGGCAACCAACACTCTCAATACTTTACATCACTGTTCACATTAGCCAGAACGGCTCCTACAAGCAGGATAGATGTATCCTCGAATGAAGGAAAGATTGTGCAGCAGGAACATGGAGGAAACAGCCAGAAGCCAACGACAGCCCCTGTGAACAATGTGTGGGAGAAAGGAACGGAGACCATTAAGGCGACCCTAGGGAAAGTAGGTAATGCAGTTGAAAAATGAAACCTTGTGGGAACAAGGTTCAGGACAATATGGTGAACTCGGAGGTTGGTACTCAAATATTGGAATATCTAAAAAAAAATAGACAAGAGGACTGGGGCATTGGAAAAATTAGCTATGGAGGTTAGATGGTGGTGAAACAGGACGTGAAATGGAAAGTGAAACAGGACTTTCCAGCAAAGGTAGTTTTATTATTAATCATGGATGAAAGTAGATTGAGTAAATATTATCTTGGAACGTTAATGGATTAAAAACTAGAGCGGTGGATGTACACTATTATACTCTTAGAGAGGATATTGACATAGTAGCACTCCAGGAAACTGGGAATAGGGATGGTAGCATTCTGAGGCTAAATGGCTATACAGGTTTTCACTTATATGCTGATGGAGGAACTAGGGGGGTCTCATGTTATGTCAAAAGTACCATACCTGCCGAAATAACTGGAATTCCTCAGAGATATAGAGGTACTGAAAATATTATTTTGCGGATACTATTACAAGACCGAGAGTTAAATTTCATTAATCCATACATATCTGATGATACCCTTGATTTGAGATACTTGCTAGATTCCTTCTTTTCTGAAGATACACTTGTGGTAGGGTATTTTAATGCCAGACATCCAGCTTTAGGGTCAAGT